TATATATTTATTTATTTATTTATTTATTGTGGGTATGAGACGGATAATAAAGTACGTATCTGTAATTATATATGTTTATTTTAATAGATAATTGCTCGTCTCCATATTTATATTTATTTTATAAGTTTTTATTTTATCTATTGTGGATATTTTTTTGCTGGTACCCATTAGTCATGGTCAAATGAGTCAAATTACTGTCCTTATGTATGATAACACATAAGGGTGGAAATAACAAATTTTCTTTTTCTTTTAGATTTTGATGTTAAACAACATGTACAAAACAAAACTATGAAAAATATAGAAGCTGTACTTTTAATATTGCCCATAAATAATTTGGACATCGCATTTTATGCAAAATACATAAGCCACCTATGAAAATATACTGCATTTTCAGGAAAATGTGGGGGCAAAATCATATAAAAGTACGTCACATTTACTATAATATCCAGTTAGAGTTGGTTCTGACTTTTTAGAGACTCAGGACAAACTTAATAAATAGACCTTTAATAAAATAAAAAAAAGACTTTTTCTCACCTCCAAAATGAAGAAGAATTTCGAAGATAAGATCAAAAATATGAAGTCTCGGTTGTTATTAATAACAAAAAAAAATTTGATGCGGATAAAAAGTCATCCACAAACTATTAAAATATTTAAAATTATAATATGATTAACGAAATTAAGAATGAGAATCTTTTAAAGACTCTAATACACAGATTTATTTGACTGATAAACTTATTTATTTTTATGATAAAAAAATAATAAATCAAAACACAAATGATAATCAATTTGATTTCATTATAAAAAATTCATAATAAATTAACTAATTGTATGTTAAACTTTTAAATATTTAATTATAATATATAAATAATCTCAAAAATTTATACTAAAATAAAATTATAAGAATTACAATAAATAATCATCGAGAATAAATTTTAATTTAAAATTTCAATTAATTATATAAAATTATTTTATAACTAAAATTTAAAAAATTCTAATTGTCATCTTTATTTAATGACTGCAATTAGATTGAGAGATATAGGAAAGAATGAAGTGTTCTCTTTTAAAAAGAGATGATAATGAAGTCTTGTAAAAAGAATTGATAATTTAAAACTTAAATGGCCGGGATTTGAACCGCAGACAAGATTCTCCCAAGGTAAGTTAAGTAATGCTAGACTATCAGCCAAGAACTGCTTCTTGTTTTCGCTAATAGATATATAATTTATTATTTCAGTATCATAATTTCTTGATTATACCACCTAATTTATTGAGGCCCTGGACTGGGCCTGCTTTCCCCGGCCCAGGGCCGTTCCTGTATGCACTACACCCTAAAATATACTGCACTTATGTATGAATGAGTAAAATAAATTTGTTGTTTTATCTAATAGTCATTAAGGGTAATATGGACTTTTCATAAATTGTGTCATGGCTGAGTGTAGAGGGGCTTGAAAGATTCAGCATATAAGTCATTTGTGAACTCAGCCCGTGTGTTGGGCTCTTTGTTAGTGTCTGGCCCAGATATTCGAAATAGACAACATAATTTCAATATTATTCACAATATGTATTCTCATTTTCAATGGTGATCATATGAGTAAACTTTTAATAGAATACACTTTCTTTCACGATTGTTTATAATAACTAGGAATCAGAAAACTATGCAATAGCTTCTTCTTTATACATTTTAATTTTCGATCTCAACTGCCATTAAAGGGTATTTTAGTATTTTTAATTGTTTTATATAATTTAGTTATTAAATCTATTCTATTAAGACCTATGTGGTATTATCTTTTGTGTATAAATAAATTAGTTGTAAATGTCATAAATACAACAACAATATTATTCCTCTTGTAGTTTTTATAGTCGTCATTCTCTTTGCTCTCTTAAATTCATTCTTTGTTTATTATTGATTCTTTTGCACTAACAATTGGTATCTAGAGCTCTTGATTCTGATCCGCAGGGAAACACGAGTAAAACGTGAGCGTTTGTGTGATTGATTTTGGTTCTGGATTCATGTGGAATCTTTGAACAAAATTGTAACAGAATCACATTTTTTCTAATTTTGTGAGGTTGAGAAACACTGTGCTTGTGAAATCTGAGTGAGTTGTACAAGGTTAAGGATGAACGAAAATGCTGGTATGAGTATCAAACTTCCTGTTTTCGATGGCAACAATTGAAACAAATGGATGATTCAAATGCGTGTGTTGTTCGATGCTCAAGATGTTCTTGAGCTTGTTACCGAAGGTTATGTTCTAATTGCAGAAACTGCAACGGAAGAGTAGAGAAACGCACAGAGAAACAAGAGGAAGAAATATCAGAAGGCGTTGTTCTTCATTCATCAGTGTGTGAATGAGAATGTGTTTGAGAAGATTGCATATTCGACGACGTCAAAGGGCGCGTGGGATAATACTGGTCAGACGTTACAGTGGTGACGCATCAGTGAAGAAGGTAAAGCTTCAGTCCCTACGAAAGCAATATGAGAATCTCAAAATGAAGAACAATGAGAAGGTTTTTGAGTACATCTTCAGAGTGATTCTGATCACAATCACTAATGAGATGAAAGCTTGTGGAGAAACTCTTTTTGAACAAGTAATTATTGAGAAGATATTGAAGTCACTTATTCCTCAATTTAATTATTCTAAAGATCTGGAAACCATGAGAATAGAATAGCTACAAAGCAGTCTAGAGGCGCATAAGTTGTGTTTGATTGAAAGAACTTCTGAGAGGGAAGTTGAGCAGGCTCTGAAGGCTTCTTTTGTCAAGAAGGACCAGAAGCATTCTTGGTCAGAAACCAAAAATAGACGTAGTGATAGATTCCAGAAGTCAGAATCCTCTACTTCTGATGAGAAGAAACATTAGAAGGGAAATGAGAAGTTTGACAAGAAGAAGGGAAATGACGAATACCAAGAAGGTTTGAAGAGTTTGACATGTTGCAAGACACTGAAGTAGATTCAGAAGGAGAAATTGTTCAGTGTGCCATGTTAGTAGACACTGAACTTGTAAGTGTTGAAGAAGCTCTCAACAAGAAAGTATGGTTGAATGACATGAAAGAAGAACTTGAGGCTATAGAAAGAAACAAGACCAGGAAATTGACTAAGTTTCCAGATAAGAAGAAAGTCATCAGCGTCAGATGAGTTTTCAAGGTGAAGCATAAGCCAGAAACCTAGGCTAGATTACTTTGAGGTGTTTGTGGCTGTAGCTAGACATGAAACAGTCAGATTGGTGATTGCTTTAGCTAAAAATAGAAATTGGCCTCTGATACATCTGAATGTGAAGTCTGCATTTCTGAACGGTCCATTACAAGAAGAGGTATACGTGTCACAACCTCTTAGATTTGTGAAAAAAGAATCAGGAAGAGATGCTGTACAAATTACATAAAGCTCTATATGGATTGAAGCAAGCGCCCAGAGCTTGAAATTTGAAGATTGATTCATTTTTCAAGAAACAAGGTTTTTAGAAGTGTGACATGGAGTATGGTGTGTATGTTCAGCATTCTGAAAGAAATATGATTCTGGTAATGTCTTTATGTTTATGATATATTGTTGACGGAAAGTTGTTCTTAAGAAGTTGTCAAGTTCAAGAAGACTCTGATGAATGAGTTTGAGATGACTGACCTAGGAAAGCTAGTTTATTTTCTAGGAATGGAGGTATTATACTCTGAACAAGGTATAATTTTGCATCAGCTGGAGTATGAACTTGAGCTTCTGAAGAAATTCAAGCTGGAGAATTGTAAGGCCGCTGTTACACTGTCAGAAACCAATCATAAATTGGATTCTGACTCTAAGGGTGAAGACATAGATGTTACAACGTTCAAACAGTTGGTAGGTTCTACGAGGTATCTGCGTAATACCAGACCTGACATTTGTTATGCGGTTGGGTTGGTTAGTAGGTTCATGAGTAAATCTAAGTGGTCCCCTTACCAAGATGCTGTTAGGATTTTGAGGTATATCAAGGGAACTCTGAAGTTTGGAGTATTATTCCTTTTTGGAAGAAAAACAGATTCAGAGTTGATGAGTTATTCTGATTCTGATTGGTGTGGAGATAGAGTTGATAGAAGTACTTTTGGATACTTGTTTAAGTTTCTGGGGGGTCCTATTTCTTGGTGTTCTAAGAAGCAGTCTGTTGTTGCTCTATCAACGTGTGAAGTTGAGTACATTGCAGGTGCTATAACTACATGTCAAGATGTATGGCTTCTGAATTTACTGCAGGATATGAAGATCAACGTAGATAAGCCTCTGAAGCTGATGATTGATAACAAGTCTGCCATCAATCTTGCTAAGACTCCGATACTATATGGGAGAAACAAACATATTGAGACAGAATATTATTTTCTAAGAAGTCAATTCCATACGGAATACTAGAAATTGTACACTGTAGCACCCAGAAGCAGCTGACAGATATCATGACAAAGGCAATCAAGACGAGTCAATTTCTTCGCTTAAGGGATGGAATTGGAGTAGTTAATTTTAATTAAAAATTCTAAATTAAGAGATGGTATTAAAGGGTATTTTAGTATTTCTAATTGTTTTAGATGATTTAGTTATTAAATCTATTCTATTAGAGTCTATGTGGCATTCTCTTTAGTGTATAAATAGACTAGTTATAAATGTCATAAATACTACAACATTATTCCTCTTACACGATTCTTGATTGATTCTTGTGCACTACCAGCTCCTAGTATCAAACATCTCAATCTTGATACACCAAAATTAACTTCTCAATGTTTGAACCCGCAAAGGATTAAAAAATCACTAGTTGATTGCAAAGAACAAAATAGTCAATAAAACATCATTCTAAATTAATATAACTTGAACAACAACAGAATCATCAGTACTTTAGAGTCTCTAAATATTATTCCAAATTAACCTAAAGGAGCATAAAACAAATTCAAAAGGACGACACAGTTATTAAATTCTCAGAATACCAGTACTGCTCCTACTTCCTACAACTAGCTTTACAACATAACTTCTACAATCGATTCTCCGCCGAGGGTCGTGCAAATCTTCCTAGCTTGAAGCTAAATTGTGTGGCTGAAAAAGTTGCTGAATCTGTTGCTGCAATGGTATCTGGAGATACTGCTGTTCATAAATCTGCTGCACCGGTGGCAGTTGCTGTGACGGAACCAGTTGCTGAGGCAGTAGCTGTTGTTGCGGCTGTGGCTCTTCCGGAAACTGCTCTGGTTGATGTTGCTGTGTTTCATCTCTTAATGGTGCTTTAAGGTCCAGAGTTGCCAGGTTTTCCAATTCTTGAATTGCTGCAACTGCATTGACTGGACTTTGATGATCAAAATAAGGCTTAAGCACTTCGAGAGATTCCTTAACCTTTGATTGCTGTAAAGTAAACAAACATCAGAGCCATGAAATATAACATTTTTAAAATCGAAAGATATAATGAGCAATCAGATGAAAGATTGTTTCAACTTACAAAGTGCTCAAGTTTCTTTCTTAGATCTTCATCAGCATACTTTTTTACTCCTTTTGCTCCCTGTTTCATATAAAATGATGCAATGGAATATGCAAATAAGAACAATTTACATAATTAGAGCATTCAATTTGTGTATTTAATTTTCATATCTAGGACATATTAGGGTTATATCCTTCATAATTACTTTTTTTCACAACCTTTTGAAAATTTGCTTATATTTATGGACATATTTTTCCTCAAATGATGTTTATAACTAGATATGGAAGGATTACATGTTTTTTTGGATATAAATCCGATATGCAGAGACTAATCCGTCGAGTGGGAAATGACCACATTGGGCGGCAAAATTCTCTCAAGAGATAGAAAATAATCCAAATTATTTCTTTACCCTCTTGGTGTACAAAATTTAAGAAATTAATTGACATTCCTATCAATCTGCTTATTGTTTATCACAGAATCAAACCATAATATTCTTTCCCCTCTAGTTTACGATAAATAATCATGCATAGACTATACCAAATGCAAGTGAAGCAGACATAAATGAAACAATGCATGAAAAAAACATCTTGACCTTTGGACGGCCGACGGGCCTCCGGAAGGGATTCTTAGGCCCACCGATGACAGCAAGCTTAGCAGGACGACCCTGCCTCATGGTGGGAGCAACTGACATCAACTCATCAGCATACTTCTTAGGCCTGCCTCTTGGCCTGGTAGATCTAACAACAGGTACAGTAACCCCATCTGTCCCATCTGTCACGGCAGCAGGAGCTGAAAAAGGTATAACCGTCGGTTGAGAATGGCTTTTGGGAGGACGGCCACGCCGTTTAAGCCCGTTAGACACAGATTTGGGCTTCGGAGGACGGCTAGCGCTCTTGAGCGACTTAGATCTGAAGCTCCCAGGCGGACGACCGCGACCTCTTTTGGTAGATAGAGTCGTGGGGGTCTGAGTGAGGTCGACGGGTACAGGGTCGTCGTGAGTAGGAGGGTCAAATTCAAACGATGCGAAGACGGGCTGGGAGTTGAGTTCGGGCTTGGGCTTAGCGGGACGGCCACGGGGTTTTTGGGATAATGGAGTGAAAGGGAGATGAGATTCGGAGTCAGATCTAGTGACGGTGGGAGGTGGAGGGAGCGAGGAAGGTAGTTTGTAAGATTTTTTAACGGTGACGAGAAGACCGGCAGATTTCAAGTGGTTGAGATGTTGAGTTAACAAAGCGGTGTGTTGTTGTGGAAGAACGTTGGCGTAGTTTTGTTCTATGAATTTTGCTATGGCTCTTTTGCTTGAACCGTCTTTCTCTTTGAGGGATTCTATTGCTTTGTATATCATCTCAGCGTAGGGAGGGTGACTGACGGAGGAGGTGAAGGTGGGTTCGAGGGAGAAGGGGACGGTGGTGGGTGGTGGTGGAGGGAGATCGAAGGAGGTTGGGTCCATGGTGAATGGTGAATGGTGAACGGTGAGTGAGAGTGAGAGAATTGGGATGAGATTGGAGTAACGGGAGGAAGGGAGAAAGATAGAGTAAAGTGCGTGTCTATCTGTCTATGTTTGTGAGCTGTCCAACAAGATCAGTGGGGTCAATAAATCACAAAGGTTGTCTCACTTAAACCACATCGCGTCTTACTTATGCTACTCTACGTAATTTTTAATAAAAAATTTAACATGTATTTTTATATTAATATACAATAAGTTACTGAAATATATTAAAATAAGTTTAATAATACAAAATATTATTGAAAGACTAAAATTTTTTAACTCTAAAAAATATATTAATTGTTTTAATATTATAACTAATTATTTTTTTATTATTATTTTTTAATAAAAAATAGGAGATGAAATGGGTGAGAAAACAATTTTTTTATTTTGGGTCTTATATTAACACAATATTACATGTTTCTTACACATTTAAATAAAAATTTTAATATTTGTTTTAGTCTCTTATTTTAATTTAATATTTCGCTTATGTTTTTTAATTAAAAAGTGTTATAAACTAGTCTCTTAAATAATATATTGCTACATAAAATACTCTCTTCCATTAGATTGGTCAACAAAAAAAAATGTTAAATTTTATCTAGTTGAAATGTGACATGGATTTTTTAGATTTATTACTTAACTTATTTATAGATTTATTATTCAAATTATTTTTAATTTAAATTTATTTAGCAAGACTCTATTCGTTGTCACTTTCTTTTTCTTTCTCTTGTTCTTTATCTTTCTCTTACAGATTGTGGATGTGCTACAACAAATATTTTTAGATTTCTTCATTTCGCTCTCTTTCTTTCTTATCAAAATTGTAAATTGGTTGTTGATTATTCAGATCTGATGACGATAAAGAATGTTCTTCAAGACAAGATCTTGTTTTGTGTTTGTTTTAAAAACTTTGAACTTTTATGAAATTAAGGGTTTTTTTCCCGAATGGTAATTATGATAAGCTCGGTCAATTTATGATTGTTTTCTAATTCTAATTTGGGTCAATTTTAAATGTTTGAGTTGTTATTCCTTTATGCTTCTTTTTTACTTTTTAGTTTGTGACTATCTTTCTCTTTTGATATTTGATAACAGTTTATATAGTTTTTCTTAAGTGTAGTTGTATAATTTTGCAAGAAGTATTTGACTTGGTCTCGGTGCTTTCCTTTACTAATATGTTTTTTTTTGTAATATCAAGCCTTTCAATGAACTTTGTTTTGATGAAGATAAACCATATTAGCAAGAAGGCAAATATTTTGATCAAGCTAAAGGCATCATTAGATAAAAGACTTTGTCTCAAGTTCTTAGCAAATTTCACAAGGTATAATGACAATACTTACTTTGAACTTAAGTCTTAAATGCTCAATGATCAAAATAAGTTTTTTATCTTGTCCAAACTTTTTCTCAAGTTTTCTAAGCAAAAAATCAATTTGCACTTATGTGCAATCGATTTGCATGTTGGTGCAATCGATTGCATGCTTCACGTTTTCAAAGTGTTAACTACTGTTTTTAAGTGCAATCGATTTGTATGTTTGTGCAATCGGTTGCTCTCTATCAAGTTTTGCTACTGTTTTAAAGTGCAATCAATTTACACACATGTGCAATCGATTGCTCATTGAAAATATTTGAATTTTTTAGCTGTTAAAACCCGTGCAATCGATTTACACAAGGGTGCAATCGATTGCATGCTGAACATTTTTAAAAATCAGCAGCTTTGAACATGCCTTTTCATAACACCATTCCATAGAATCTTTTCATTGAATCTTGGCAATTATTCATGAATCATTTGCAGAAATTTATGATGTTTCAAAGCGGTGCTATGAACATATAAATACTGAATTTTCAAAATCATTTTGTACCTCTTCCAATCAATAGTTTATGAATTTTAAAATATTAAAACTCAAGCTTTTTCTTCACTTTCATACACAAAGTTTTTCTGCACATTTTCATATATTGTTAAACAGAAAACTTTGAGCATTCTATAATCTTGAGTCATTGTATATTATTATTATTGGAAGAGAAGATCAAGTCATTGATAAAATCAATCAAAGTGATTATTGTACTACAAACTCTATCAATCAAATATTGTTATACACTTTTTTATTTTTCAGGATTGTTGAAAATAAGTTCAAATGATTTTGTAATCTTGTTTTTCCAAGATTGTTAGATACAAGTAAGGTCACCTTGAGAGAATTGTTCTCATTATTGACATAGTGAAAATCCAAGAGGATTGTTATTGGTCCAAGAGGATTGTTCTTGGTTTTGGTAGTTCTTGTTTTAAGTTTGCCACTATAAGGAAATCTCTTTCATGTTGAAAGGGGACTGGAGTACTCTCGGACTGTGAGGGGAACCAGGATATATCGCTCGTGTCTCTTTATTTTTCTGCATTTTACTCTTTCATAAACACACCATAAACCAGAAAAATATTATCCATCATCACTAAAAACCAGAAAAATTTTAAAGTGCATAATTCACCTTCCCTCTTAGGCGCACTTTGTACTTACAATTGGTACCAGAGTAGGTTATAGGCAACCTATTCCTAAAAGATCCAGAATGTATTCTGCAAATCAAAATCTCATTTTCAAAGATGGTGGTAGTAACAACAAGCCTTCTCTATTTTGTGGTGAATATTTTGACTTCTGGAAAATATGCATGAAGGCATATCTAGAAGCACAAGGAGCAGAAATTTGGGATGCCATCGAGAATGGTCCATTTATTCCTATAATCGTGATCAATGGTGCTAGCTCATCAAAGCCTAAAACTGCATGGGATGAAGATGATAAGAAAAAGGTCCTCTATGATAAAAAGGCAATCAATCTTTTTCAAGGTGCACTTAGCATGGATGAATTCTTCCGTGTCTCGGCATACAAAACGAAGAAAGAAATATGGGATACCTTGGCACAAACTCATGAAGGAACTGTTGAAGTTAACCGATCAAGATTAAATACTTTAAGTTAAGAATACGAGCTATTTTGAATGCAGCCAGAGAATCCATCCTTGACTTGCAGAAAAGATTCGTGCACTTGACAAATCATCCAAGTGCTCTTGGTAAGACTTTAACTAATGATGAACTAAATCTGAAAGTGCTTAGATCTTTAACTAGGGAATGACAAACAAACGTAACGGCAATTTCTGAAAAGAATATTCTTTCTACAATGACATCCGCAATGTTGTTTGGAAAACTTCAAGAATATGAAACAGAACTCGGAAGACTTGAAAAGCATGAAAATCAAGAGAAGAAATCCAAGAATATTGCTTTAAAGATTGATTCCAAGGAAGTTGAAAAGGAAGACAATCCGGAAGAAGATGAAAATTTCATGCTTCTTGTTAAAAGGCTTGGTAAGTTCTTTGGTAGAAATAACAAATCTTTTTCTCATGAAAAAAGAAAGAAACAATTCAAGAAAAAGGAAGCTTCAACATCAACACAAGAAGTCACATGTTATAAATGCGGTAAGCAAGGTCATATAAAGTCGGATTGTCGAAAACTCTCCAACAAAGGTGGCTACAAAGGCAAAAAGGAATTTAAGAACAAAAATGCCTATGTTGCATGGGAGGATAATGAGATAATTTCTTCGTCCGATTCCGATAGTGAAGAAAGTGCAAATCTAGCATTGATGGCCTGACACCATTCCGATGATGAAGATGATGAGGTTAGTAATGAATTTTCTCTTTTTGATAAAGATGCACAAGGTGCTATAGATGAACTATTGAATGAATTCAAAATTCTATACAAAACTATTTCATCTCAAAAGAAACAAATTTCATCTCTAGAAGAAAAATGTGAATCTATGGAAAAAGATCTCAAAGATGAAAAACAAAAATTTAGTGAGCAAAAGCAGAATTTTGTATGCAAAAATTGTGAATCACTCTCTTTCCAAATTGTCCAATTAAAAAGAGTTATTGAGAGATATGAAAAAGGTCAAATTGGATTGGAAGGTGTTCTTAGCCAACAAAGATATTCCAATGATAAAAGTGGACTTGGATATTCAAAGTTTTCAAAATCAAGTTCTAATAAAACTATCTTTGTTAAGGCTAGTGATCAATCATCCAAAGAGAAAGTGAACAAACCTAAAGTGGTTCATAATTATCCTAAAAAGAAAACATTTCCTAAGAAGAAATCTTATCCTTCTAGACATAGAAGTAACTTTGAACCTACTTTTTTTTATTGTGGTATTAAAGGCCACACACCTAATGCCTGTTGCAACACAGTGGGAGAACTGACTTGAGTGTTTTGCGTTTGATCGCAATTGTTGAAAGACTAAAATTTTTTAACTCTAAAAAATATATTAATTGTTTTAATATTATAACTAATTATATTTTTATTATTATTTTTTTAATAAAAAATAGGAGATGAAATGGGTGAGAAAACAAATTTTTATTTTGGATCTTATATTAACACAATATTACATGTTTCTTACACATTTAAATAAAAAATTTAATATTTGTTTTAGTCTCTTATTTTAATTTAATATTTCGCTTATGTTTTTTAATTAAAAAGTGTTACAAACTAGTCTCTTAAATGACATATTATTACATAAAATAGTCTCTTCCATTAGTTTTTGTCAACAAAAAAATGTTAAGTTTTGTCTAGTTGAAATCTGATATGGTGTTGTACCCTAAAATTTGCCCTCTCATTTCTCAAAGGATCATCCTGGACTCTCAGGTTTGCTTCTATCAAGTTTCAAGTCTTGGATTACAATTTTCAAAGAAAGCCATTCACAAGGGCAAAATGATCGAAAGCACACGGAAAAGTCAAACTTTGACTTTTTGAGCAAAATTAAGTTTCAACAATCATATTTCATCAAGACATGAAATTGGTTCCTCAAGAAATAAAAAGTCAGAAATTACTTTGAAAAAAAATCAAATTTCTAAACATTTAGAAAATTTTCTAAGTGTTAAGAAAATGTAATAATTTCAGAACTTCTGGGTCGGATGTCATGCAAGTACAATCAGAATTTGCAAGGAATGAT